TTTAACCAAGTGAAGTAAGTGTGGATGGAGAGATAATGTATGACATATTGACAAAACAGTCAAAAATATGTGAATAGGAGTGATTTCTCCCTTTAACAAGAATATTATGTCCTAAGGAGAGATATCTGAATTGAAATAGTTTAAACCTTTAATTTAACACATAGCCTTTGGCATGTTTTAAAACCCTGCCTTTGTGAATCATTTTGAAGAAACAATTAAGCATTCAAATGGACAATTAACTTTGTAAATTTTGTTTAACCATGCAGAGGAGCTGCAGGCTTTGCGTTACTAAACACACACATGAACAGGCTTTTCCTGTGTCCAAGAACACAGCCATCCATCGACACAGACATTCACTTTCTCTTCCTCTAAACAGCCATTAATGAATAAATAAAAATAAAATATATAAATATTTAGCCAAACCTCACTGCCAAATTACTTGTCTCCTTAACTTCTCACCCCACCCCATCTCTCTCTGGCTATCTCTCTTATTTTGCCTTTTTCTCTTTATTTCTCTGTTGGTTTCTGTCTCTCTCTTCTCCAGATCTCCTCTCTGTTTTAACACCTTCTCTCCCTCTTTTTTTCTGTTGTTCCTTTCGGATGTTGTTCGTTTATTTCTGCCTCTCTCTGCCCCTGCTTCTCTGTAAACTTGGATATAAATCATTAGATTATTATCAATTCAGAACTACATAATTTGGGCAGCAGCAGAAGAAGGTTGTTATGAGCTGAGTGGCTGACCTATAACACACACACACACACACACACACACACACACACACACACACACACACACACACACAGTCTGTCCAGCTGGCTGGCAGCACCTAGAGCCAAATGTGTCTCTCTGAGGGCTCATATCAGTGTCTTATAAACTAAACTAACCTTGCCAAAGCAAATTTGTTCATTCACTCTCTCAGAAACAAATTTGGAATTGTTTTCATACAGTTTTTTCCACTAAACCCTCAGGCTTTGCCATTATAATTTATTCTCCTGGAGATGAGCAGAATTTAGTAAACCAGAACAACGTATGGTTTGCAGGGTAGAATTACAGTCAAAATAAAAAATGGTGGCATATCATTAGGTGGAACTGTTTATAATAAAATGAAGCTGATCAACATCCTAAGAATGCTAATTAAAGAGAAAGTAAATAAAAGGGGGTAGAGCATAATAAATGCAGTAGAACAGAGCACAATAAAAGTATACTGGAAAGAAACTGCATAAAACATAAAATAATATGATCTTCTATAAAACCTAAATAAACTACACATTTAAATTGTACGTTTATGTTCTGTTCTTTTCCAGTGGCTTGCAAGTGGTTCCACAAGATATGAAATCAATAAAAGATCCACTGATCAATATCAGTAGTGGCAACGGCAATGTCTCAGTCAGAATATTGATCTGTCTTCACTGAACACTGACACTGTTGACACACATTTCCTATCTTATAGAGAAGCATTGTTAACATATAGAGAATAATAATAAATAATAATAAACTAAATCTGGTTTCTCGATGGATGGTTTACTGACATCTACAGATGCAAAAAGAATTTGAAAGAAAGCATTACTGTTGTTGGAATATATTCATATAATCTAGCAGTAAGATTTTTAGAGATGTTCTACATTTAGATTTACTCATTTAGCTGATGCTTTTATCTTTATATAAGCGACAATTGTTATATATGTCAGAAGTCGTACGCCTCTGGAGCCACCCAACCTGACTTTCTGCTGATGTGTAAGAACCAAAAAGTGATGGAGAAGACTGACAGCCGACAGGAAGTAGCCAATCTATCACAAGCTTGTTGAGAACTCTGCATATTAATCGACTAACCTATCGCACTGGCACTCCTCATTAACATGTTGATTAACCTTTTAAAGTAATTAAGATCAATTAAGATCAATTATACCAACTAAAAGCAAATCGCAAGGGGAGTGGTCAGGTTGTCTGCCAATCAATCATGGAGAACGTCTGAGAGCCAGAAGGAGAGATGTGCAGAGAGGGTGGTTAAGGACAGGAGGAGAAGATTGGGGTGAAAGAGAAAGATGAGATTCAAGCAAAGATGTGTTGAAGAAAGAGCAAGGGGAAAAGAAGGATAAGGTTTAATAATGACTTGAACTTTAATTTCTAAGAGCTCCTCTAAAATGCGCCTGTTTTGACGTTCATGTATTGTCACTGATATTATTCGTTGACTAAATTATAATTTGTAAGCGGTTATTTCTCTTTTTTGTTGGCATTTTGCCTTCCTACTAGATAGTCACAGTGGAGACTTTAAACCGAACCACATAGACAACCTCTATAGTGGTCGTTCTTTAAAAGTCAAACACAAGCAACATCTCATGTGAGTTGTCATCTGGGGTCATATTCAACCTAATGGGCTTGTCAAACCCAACGATTGGGAAATTATACAGAGTTAATATAAAATCACCATTGAATTAATTGCAGTTTCAATTACGTAATTGGCTTAATTGACCAGAGCCCCGCAAGAGGCACATGGGACCGATACAGTAAAAATGTACAGGGTCAATCGCAATAAGCACTAAACATTTAAGAAGGAAAATACAATCAAAAAGTAAAACACACTAATTCGACTCTTTAATCAGTTCTGAAGCAAATATTGTAAAATGCATTTTGCAGCCACATGCACACGGATATGCAGTACAGCTATGAAATTCATTACATTTTTTTGTTAAAGGGTTAGAAAACGTATATAATACCAGCTATAAAGCAATATTTCTATATTGATTTGATTTCTATAGAACTCCACACTTGTTCAATGAAACAATACTAATTTCTACCTCAATAGCCAGTTTCTCAGATGATAACTTTTCATGTAGAGAACCCTTTGTACTGTAGGAAAACCATGACTTGAAAAAAGATGAATATCAATTCAAAGGTGTTCAGAAAGGTTTCTCAGTGATGACAGTGACAGCTGGCAACAGCCCTACAAAAATGAGCAAATGCCCATGATTGTAGTATAAAGGAACCGCAGTGTTAAAGAGGTCATATTATGCTTATTGGGTTTTTCCCTCTCCTTTATTGAGTTATATACCTTTTTTGTGCATGTAATAGGTTTGCAAAGTGAAAAAGTCCACCCCAAAGGGAGTTCCCATCTCCCACAGAAAACACTGCTCTGATCTGCTCATTTGTAGTCCAGCCTTTTCCTTTTGTTCTCTGTGATGTCACAGCAAAATGCGTGTCATAATGCTCGCCTAGCGACTAGTCCGACACGCCCTCAAAAACACAGGTGGAAAAACACTGAGATGCAGCACACACTTCTCCTCTCCCTTCCAAACACTAGCTACCCTCCAGGCAGTCAATGGACATAAAGTTGTTATGTGATGTAGAGACAGAGCTCGGTTAAAACTTTATGGATGAAAGATACATTTGTTACAGAGTAATAACTCACCACTCTGAAACTCTTGCTCCAGTCTATGTTGCTAAGCTGGTAAGGGGATATACAGCTGACCCTAAGCCGTGTTTACTGGCTTCTCACAACCCGCCCTACTCTGCTTCTGATTGGCTAGTAGTCCTTAACTAGGAGCTGCGCATGTGCAACTCCCAAAATGAAACCATGTAAACCTGTTCTAGTACAACCCCTAAATAAGATTTTAAACCTGAATATAAGCATAATATGACCTCTTTAATGCATGACATAGTGAAATAGTGACAAAAAAAGAGTGGAAGAAAAAGATTGGAGTTAAAAGAGAAGATGTTTGAAAGAATGTAATAAGAAGGGAGAGATGGAGGACAGAAGAAAATAGCATCACTGAGTTGTTTATAAGTGTGTCATTTCTGACACATCCATGAATGTAATCTGTGTTTTGTGTCCTTTCAAAACATGTCAACACCAACATAACGTCATCGTAAGATTTTCTTTGACAAACTATACAAACAGGGCCCAGTTTTCAGGACAGCACATGGTGCAGTCTCTGCTCCTGAGAGGAGGCATTTTGGATGGGTGCACACCTCATTTTTTCTTGCCTGACTCTGCTTGGTATTTTGGTGACTTGCTGTGAACTTCAATGTGCTGAACTGAGAGGCGAGGCACAGTAGGGAGCGTGTCAGTAATAATCAACTGGCACAGTGCAATTTTGGTGTCAAGCATGACCATGATTTACGCTTTTGCTGCCCGCCTACTCAGACCAGGTCAATGACGCATGGAGTAAGGCACACCGTACTGCTGCCATGACTTTAGTTTGCTCTAGTTTATCTTTACAACAATAAACACACAAATAAAATCTTCCAATTTCCAAATATTTTGATTTAAGTGGATTAGAGGATAGGATACATAAAACATCTACTGTGTTTCAATCACACTCTATGTCCATCTGAACTTAGCAATAATGATTTACAAAAAAAGGCCAATAATTTTTAAAAGTACATTGCCTTTTCTGTAATAAGATGAAGTGATCTTAGTATAAAAGAAAACAGAGTTTGAGTGTTACAAGTAAAATGTAAAATATAAACCCTATCTGTTCCACTCATTCAGCTCCTATTATCGCTGTTGGGAGACATGGATGTTGCCAAATGAATTTCCTAATGTTTTCCACCAGCTTTGTGTCACAGAAATCTAACTGTACGCCTATGAGGAGTTATCCAAGAGGAAAAGAAAGAGGGAAAAAGAGAAAGATAGACAGAGGGGAGAAAGAGAGAGATGCAGAAAGATGGAGACAGTAAGAGAAATGTAGTAGAGAAGAGACGAGAAGATTGGAGTCAACAAGCGTAATTAAAGGGAGTTAGAGGCAAGATGATGGGGAAAACTGTCAATTGAAAAGGAAAGCAGCACAGAGAAACAGAAAAACAAAAAGGAAAAAAAAACAGAACTCCGTAAAGAACCGTCATTAACAACTACAAAGACATCTGTAGATACTGTAAATATAAAGCCCTGTTTATCATAAATTAACATTCTTTATGCATAAAAAGCGCGTGTGTGTGTGTGTGTGTAAGTGTGTACATGAAGATGCCTGTCTCTGTGGATGTAATCACATTTTTCCTATCTTACCTTGATAATGTGCGCTGAAACCACGGTAACGGTGGTTGCCATCAGTCACAAAATGCAGTCGGAGCCAGTTCTTGTTGCTAACGATGGGAGAGGGGACATTACTGCCAGACAACCTGAAACAAAGTTAGAGAAAGATTTGTAAGAAATAGAAACATACACGCAAAAACACACTTAGCATTTTTTTTAACCTTTTTCTGACCTAATCCTACAACAGTCCCTTGAGGAAGAGGAAGAATGAATGCTGTCTAGAATGAAGCAAGAACAAAGTCTATTGTGTCTATAATGACACAGGCTGAATTACATACAGTGTCAGGACTTCACAGCCCAATACAACCAGTCTGTTTCAGCAGTCCCACTGGAGTTACTGGGGATTATGCTGCATGCTCAAGGGTGCCTCAACCGCTCTTAATGAAGTAGGAAATTGTATTCTTTATTCATTGCTCTTGACACGATTGCCAGATCTTGCCAGCCGGTTAGTGGCTTTTACCTAGCAACTCTGATCACAAACTCAATTATCATGGTAATTTTTTAACCCACACTGGTATTGTATTAGACAGCATTATAGTGATTATAATTATTTCTAATATTTTGAACCCTACTATTTACCTTTATTGTACCAAACAGACTATATGCTAATATAAAGTGGTTTCAAACACCTAGCCCATTGTCAGAATGCAATATAACACTTTTAACAATATAAAAATTTTTTTGCACTGAAGCAAGCTTAGGAAGTGAGGCTTTGCCGGTGCACAGCACAAGTAGATGGGAACCAATTTGCAACTCCTACATCAAGTGGGAAGGATAAGATCCCTTAATTGGTGGAGAAGATGAACAAGGCTCTTGTGGTTAGCAAAGTGAAGAGTGTTAGGTCACTGTTGGCACCCTTAGAGGAGGTGCCTGCTTTTCAGTTGACACTTATACAGAATAAAACACCCATGTTCTTGTATAACTTCAGATATTTGAAGCTCAAATACAATCACTAATGGCAATAACCCGATTTTAAACATCAGTTCTTTGATGTATGGTGTTTTCATCTTGTAGCATCAACCCACAGGTGCTGTTTCTCTCCCATTACATTTCCATAGTGTTTTTTTTGTGTGTTTGTTTGTTCTTTTTTAGGAACATCACCTTGGCTGTTACATATAAGACACAGGTTCACACATGTTAACAGTGTAGAGTATGAAGTGGACTGCCCTCTCATGTTCGCTTGTCCCCTTCTATAAACCCTGGCTGTAAACCTTTGCAGTCCATTAATATCAACACACACACACACAAATGCATGCTTACACACATACATGGATAGTGTTTAGTGTATACAGTGCTATCCAACACCCGTGCCCTCTAATAACAGCGGTTTAAAGTGGAGCACAAGAATGCTGAGAAGGTGTTTTAGAAGGTGTGTCTTTGCGTGTGTTGGGTCTGTGTGTGTGCGCATGTTAGACGGAGAAAGGGTCACCTTGTTGCCTAGATCAGTAGGATTCTCTGATGTCTGCTATTAGTCACACACACACACACACACACACACACACACACCCACACTCACCCACACACACACACCGTGGTTTCACAGGCCCAAATAGACACAAACTTCCTGATTTACATACTGTAGTAAATATAACAATACAAAAAAAACATAACTGTGAATGTAAAATAACATAAATAAAAAAGAAGGTACTGAGATTATATTCACGAACAGAAAAGTAACACTGTAATAGCCGTATATATGCTTAGTTTGTTTAGAGTGGGTCATTGTTGTTGTTTGTTTGATTTTGCATGTATTTGTCTATTAAAGTATTTTTTGACATGTAATGCCTTTATTCCTGACAGTAATAGAAAGCTGACTGGAAATGAGGAAGAGAAAGATGCAACGAAGAATCGTGGTAAGACTCCAACCGCGAACATAGTGGTTCATGTGCGATGTCTTAACCGCAAGCTATGGTGGCACCCTGTATTTGTCTTTTTCTACCAATAAACAATTCAGTATATGTACTAAAACACCAGTCACCACCTTGTAAATTGCATTCAAATTGAATACACTATGGCAAATCAATGCTGAATTAATCTATTAGCTGGGGACTGAGCAGTAAATGAAAGAGATGGAAGAGGCTCAGATAATAGAACTGATGGACAATAATCACTGACATCCCTAGACTGACACAAGACATTTGAAAGACTGAAACTCTGAAAAAAAGATTTATCCAGAACATTATCATGTAGTATTGCTTGGAGATTCTACCAGATTCTACTGAGACATGACCCCCCAAGTATGGATTCCCATTTAAAGTGAAATATGCAATGTTGGAAATAAGAAAAAAATATTAATCAAATATAAATTGATTTTAAACTGCTATAAGTGAGTTTTGTTTCTGTATTTAAATTAGCTTACACTGTAAAATAGTATGATGCACATTTAATAATAATTATAACAACATATTTATCCTTACTATGTGTATCTAACATGCCTATAATCTATTATAATATAGATTTCTGTTGATGGGACTTTTCCGTTCCCTTCTTTCTTCTTGACAAACCCCTGCCATCCTCCTTTTCGTTCTCTCTTTACCTCTCCCCCTCTCTTTACCTCTCTCCTCGCACTGTTCTCTTTTTCCTTCTCCCTTCCTCAGCTCTCCTCTGTCTCTTCATATGTGCACTCTCTCCCTCACACATATTATTCATGTTTACAGCTCTTAATTCACGTCCTGCTATTACCCAGAGAGCATCGTTATGGGTAAAGTGTGTGCATATTCAACCTTTTCCAATATTAAAATAGGAATTAAATCATGAATCTATACAGCCTGTATGTGTGTGACATTAACATATTAAACTGCATGCTCAGGAAGCACTCAACAACTGTGAGCTGCAGGATGAAGGTATAATTTGAAAATTCCCTCTTGCAGCAGTAGCTGGAAGGTTAGAGAAACAAGCTGGCAACTAAAAAGGTCACCAATCTGGATCCCCACAGCAGCAGGGGAACACCTCCTAGTGCTTTTTGTCTCAACAAGTACTGTTGAGATGTAGCACAGCTACCTGCATAGGACCCAGACATGAACATCAATGATAATGAAACAAAAAAAAAGACGTGCGCTTGACAACTTCTTATACTGATAATTAAAGCTTAAAATTACACTTCCAGCAGAAATCCTAATACTTCCAAAAAACATCAGCTTCTGCAGCTAGTTGATTTTCCCTGTGTGGACAATTTGTAATGCATTATTAAATCATTCATCTATGTTGATGGCTTCTGTCTGACTGGTAAGTGTTCTCCCTAGATATCTGCTATAAAAGCACTTCAGAGCTGCCTGGAGGTATTATAGATCATCTTTAGATTGGCTAAAATGATTTTTTTTATACCTTGGTCTGAGAGGGTCTACCACTCTGTGACGTTACAGTGACATATGTATAAAATACAATGAGTGAAGCCAGGCTCGCTTCTAAAGGCTACTAGCTCTTTGAAACTTCTGAAAGAGGAAATATGGAAAAACAACAACTTTTGTAAAAATGACATGGAACATGAATAAGAATTGTGGGATAGTTTACACATTCCTCAAGAAACATTATAAAATATTATGGTGGGTGCATTTTTTGCAACATATTTAATTATTACATTTAGTCCAAAAAAAGAGAAAGAAATCTAAGTGTCTCTTGTTACATGAAAGCAAGTGTCTCTATTATGAAATAAAGTAGATTGGTGTTCTTCTCTGGGGAACCAGAGGAAATTACTTACTCTGGTGATATTTCCCTCTTGCACAACACTGTTGTATGATGCACAGTAGATCCCAGTGCAGTAGTTATTTTGGGGAGAAAATGTATAATAATAAATGCTCAAAACCTCATAGGAGTCTGTCAGCAATCTACCACCAACAATGGTTGTTCCCGGAATTGTGCAGGGAGGTCACATTACAGCTATTGTTCTCTGAAAATCATCAATCTTAACAGGTAAAAATACTGAAACCTGCTTTCCATGTTCAACTATAACCTGCTAAATTTGAAATAAAGGAATACTGAGATGGAGTGTGTGACCATTTATGTGTGTGTGTGTGTGTGTGTGTGTGTGTGTGTGTGTGTGTGTGTGTGTGCAGCAGAGAGGGGATATCAAGTGGAGAGTTGCCAGAGGGAGCAAGAGAACATAATTGATTAAATACACTAGACCAAAAGAGCATCTCTCCCTCTCTCCATCTCTCTGTCGACCATCCTCCCATCCATCCTGTGGGTCTCTGTTCCTCCACGGAAATACAAACCAGCTATTCCACCGGCAGTATGGGAATGAGAGAGAGGAAGAGGGAGGAAATAAAGAAGCATGGGGTAGAAGGAGGGCGGAAGGAGGCAAAGATCGATGGAGGTATGGTGAGACATGAGGGGAGAGATCAAGGGAAGCAGGGAGGGGGTGAAGAAGACAAGCAGAGGCTGACAGAGGTACAACGGTTCGTTTGTTAACTTGTTAATTATTCATTTTAGCATCTAAGCAGAAAGTAATCACCAAAAGCAAAAGCAGTATTACTACTGAACTGATTTTAGTGAGGGTAATTTATGAATAAAACATAAACAACGTTTAAATTAAAAAGGTCATTTTCTGCCACGTTGAACACACGACAGAAAACATAATATATTCAAATGAAGGGCTGCACACTTTTGAACAATTCTCAGAGCTTCTTTTGGAAAATTGTAGCTGTTTACTAATTTACTGTGATTGTACATGTTTACAGAGGATGAAAATAACAAATAATAAATAAATTCAAAGCAGTTTCCCACATTGGTTTGAGTTCATATAGCAAAAATTACATTTGCAGCTTTTAAATCTTTTATCCCTTTATTACATTATTTTTCAAATACAGTAATGTTTGCATAACAAGGACAGTAATTCAACTTGTTTCAGATCAAGTTCTGACACCATGTTATATCTCACCTCAATTGCAGTGTCTACTGTCTTGTCACCCATGTTGTTGCATACTATCAGATTGTGATAACACCTCTTAAATATTTAACAACTTCAAACTACTTGGCAATCACAGTTGTACTCAACCCTAGAATGTCTTGAAAATTGTAAACAATCTGCTTACTCTATTTTAGAACAGAGTGTACAAGTTTAGTCAAGTAACCTGATGTTTTCTGTTAT